TTCCAATCCAGCTCCCAGCTTAGAGCTATGGGAAAGCAACTGAGGATGGCTTAAGTCCTGTGACCCCTGTGCCCACATGGGAGACCCAGGAGAAGTTCCTCATCCTGGCTTTGGATCAGCTCAGCTCTGGCTGCTGTGGTCATCTGCTGAGTGTACTAGCAGATTGAAGATCTCTGTCTTATCTCTAAAACCTGCCTTTCAAATAAAATTAAAAAGTAAATCTTTAAAAAAAAAAAAAGAAACAAAAAGAAATAGGGATCTTTCATTCCAAAGAACTGCAGCTTTTTACACTTTCTTGGAATATTTACATGACTACATTAAGTCGGGAAAAGGAAATGTCGAGACTAGTAACAATCATTTTTGGAACGGGTTCAGGTGATTTGCAGGAAAAAAAAAATCATATAAAAAAACCCTGAAAATACACATGGCTCAATTTCAATTCCCAATCTGACTTGTACTCATCAAATATCATATCCGATTAAGTAATAAAGCTGTGTCTGGAAAGCAAAACGAGCTGTTTCTTATTATAAAGCTGTCTACAAATCTTACGATACTTATAAGGTATTTGTGGTTTACACAAAAGTCCGACTTTAAGAATAATGCACAATACAAACAGAAAACATCTATATGAGGAAATATACTTCCATTTACATAAACTCAGTCTAAATACTAGGTGGACACTGCAGCACAGGTTAAGCCTTCACTTGGGGTATAATCCATCCAAACGGGGGTGACAGCTCCAGCTCTCGTTCCTTTGCACTTCTTGTCCACCTACAATGGCTCAAGTATGTGGGTTGCTGTCTCCCATGTGGGAGATCCAGATGGGCTTCCTGGATCTAATTCCGTCTGTTTTAATCTTGGCTATTGCAGGCATTTACAGAGTGGATGGAAGCTGTCACTCTGCCTTCCATATAAATATATATATTTTTAAATTTTAATTACTGTCTCTTCACTACAAATGGCTAAGACCAGAAACACACCTTCTCATCTACTGCTACTACTTCTCATTTACTACTGCTAAACATTTCTCTATCATTTCCTTTATGTAACTACTCCAGATACAACTACTGCCAAGAAAACACTGTGAATTCTCTTTACTCTTATCCACACTGACACTGAATTTCTCTGTGGTGGTAGACTATTGGCAAAAAAATGGAGTACAGGGCCCGGCATGGTGGTTCAGTGGGTAAGGTCCTCGCCTTGCATGCCCGGGATCCCATATGGGCGCTTGTTCTATCCCGGCGGCCTCACTTCCCATCCAGCTCCCTGCCTGTGGCCCGGGAAAGCAGTCGAGGACGGCCCAAGGCTTTGGGACCCTACACCCATGTGGGAGACCTGGAAGAGGCTCCTGGCTTCGGATCGGCATAGTATCGGCTGTTGTGCTCACTAATCATCGGACAGAAGATCTTCCTCTCTGTCTCTCCTCTCTGTATATCTGCCTTTCCAATAAAAAATAAAATAAATCTTTTTAAAAAAAAATGGAATACAAAAAGGAAAAGTAGTTTTAGACTGGGATTTGTGGTATAACCAGTTAAGCCACCGTCTGAAATACTGGGATCCATATGAGCACAGGTTGGGAGTTCCAACTGCTCTACTTCTCATCCAGCTACCTGCTAATGTACCTGGGAAAGCAGCAGAAGACAGCTCAAATGCCTGGGCCTCACTACCCCTATGTGAGACCTGGCTGGGGTTCGAGATTCCTGGCTTCAGCTTGCCCCAGTCCCAGCCAACAAGCTCATTTGGGGAATGAAACAGTAGATGGAAAATACTGTCTCTCTCTCTCTGTAACTCTTCAAATAAACAAAATAAAATGAATATTTAAAAAAGAGAGAGAGAAAATGAATACTTTTTTAAAAAATATTTATTTTATTGGAAAGGCAGATATACATAGAGGAGCAGAGACAGAGAGGAAGATCTTCCATCCGATGATTCACTCCCCAAGTAAGCACAACAGCTGGTGCTGTGCCGATCCGAAGCCAGGCTCCAGGAACTTCTTCCGGGTATCCCATGTGGGTGCAGGATCCCAAAGTTCTGGGCCATCCTGGACTGCTTTCCCGGGCCACAAGCAGGAAGCTGGATGGGAAGTGGAGAAGCCAGGACACCAACTGGCATCTATTTGGGATCCCAGCACTTGAAGGGGGAGATTTAGCTAACTGAGCCATTGTGCCAGGCCCTTATTTTTCTTCCTTGTTTTTTCCACCCTATTTTAGTTCCTTCCCTACCATCTCTCCCTTAAAAACCCATAACCTCAACGTAGTTAAGCATATCTTTGTCAGGTTTCACTCACTCTCATCAACTCAAAATCTTTCATACTGAAAATGTTAGGGCTACTTCCTGTTTCCCATCTTTCCACTCATTCAAAAATTTGAGTCATTTAAGCTTAACATTGGGATAGGAGGTATTATTCTCCTATAATATGTACAACGATAATGACAAACTATTCAAAGTTCTAGCACATTCATCTTTTGGGGACTTGCTTATTCATCTATAAAACAAAGGGGATAGATTCTCACTCCAAAGTCTGGATGACAAAATTGCTAAGTGTGAATGACAAGGAAACTAAATTTGAGGTGCAAGGCAGGAATTGTCCAAAGGCTTCCCCATGACTGTATTGTTAGGCCACGTTTGTGATTCACTGATCAATGTGAATGTTCCTTTTGGTCTAATACTCTTAAGAGATGAAACCAAAATTTTGTCATATTGTTCTGGTAGACAATTACAAAAGCATGACAGTTTCCATAGTTACTGGTGCTACAGTTCAAGTATGTTTCTCATTCAATAGGTCCTTGTCCGCTGACCTAGCACCTAAGCACTCCCTCTATTATTACCTTAACAGCTTACTTGCAAATACATTTGTAAACTATGATACAGACTGAAGGCCATCAATATTACAATGTTAAGGCTCCCCAGTGTAAAACACTAACCATTACTCTGAGCGCAGATTTTTCATGGATGCCTTTTATACAGCTAAACTTTGACCCATTTGTCAGAAATAAAGGTAGAAAAAGAACATTCATGAGGATCATTTATACTGCTGGTTTGTTGCTGGAGCTTTGTGTATCACTGAACAAAGCCTAGAGAAGTCCAGATTGTTGGGGGAACTCAGGGTACTCAAATGCCTAAAGAAGAGTCTCATGTAGACGTTTTGCTCACTAGGACTCTACCTTCTGGGAAAGCACCACATGCAGTTATTCTAGCTCGGGCAACTTGCAACTGCCAATTGCCACGATAAACAAGTGCTCCTGTGGCTAACAGTCAGGGTAAAGACATGCCATGTGGAAAATCATCTAGACAAAAAAATTTTTGGAAAAGATGATGGTATATTAGTTATGTTAACCTATTCATTTATGAATGAGATTATAATAAACATGTAAAAATGAAAACTGAATTATTATGCTAACCATTTTCTTTAAAAGGATGCACCTAAATTTTTACAGTATAGCATGACAAATTATAGGGAAGTGTGTCCATTTATTTCTTCATTTCTCCAAATAAGAAACATCTACCCTGAATGCCATTATGTAAGTGTATTCTTTAATATCAAGAATGATGCAACTGTTGCTACGGTAACTACTCATTTTATTGAATAAGTTCTGGGTTGGCATTTAAAGCATTCTTTAACAAAAGGTGGGGGGGGGGGAGTGCAAATTTCAACATCCTAACTATGTAACTCTTTCTATTGCTACCTCTTAAAAAAAAATAACCATAAGCCATCCTTGGGAAAGTCTCCATTTAAAAACTAGCCTTGAGTTGCCAAGGGGAAGAAACTTTGAACAGACTGAAAAATGTAACATCAACTTTGTTTCAAAGCAGCAAAAGATACTTAGTTTGAACTCCAGAGTAACTGAGGTGCATAACTCAAAAGTAACAGGGCCTTTCAATTCGGTGCCTCTTCACTGTCCTAAATTTGTTTCCAGTCCTAAACTCAGAACTCAGACGAATACTAGAAGACTGCTGACGTTTCAGTTTGCAGCTAAGCCAAGTGAGAACGATCGAAATGATGCCCCGTTTTTTGAGATTCACTGCTGAGCATACCCAACAGATTTTCCACTGCCAGAAATGATGTCAAATTGCTCTAAGAGCCTATGTTTAAAAATACCCAGGGTAGCTGTGGGTTCCATCTAGAATCACGGCTCAGGCAGATGCAAAAGCTGGCCCTGAGGCATTCATTCCCCCTCACTCCAGATCTCCCATGGAGGGGGCTCCCACTGATGGCGGCTTCTTAGGCAACTGTGCCTCTAGAAGCTTCGGTGGTTTAGACTCTTCCAACCAAGCCGCATTTGGAGAACCTGCCCCAGATTTCTCTCTCCCGCCTAAATAAACAGCAAGATCAAGTATTTGAAGCATAGGTTTCGGGGCTTGGAGGGGTACGGGAAGGGGGGGGGGGGCGTGGATGGAGCCTGCCCTCCTTTTTTTTTTTTTTAACCAAGGTGAAGTCCAGTCAGCGAAAAGGCCTGCTGACTTCGCAGCCCTGCAAACCAGGGTGAGGAGGCTCGCACGGCCCAGCGACGAGGTAGGAGAAAACGGGAGGGGAGGGAGATCTGGCCGCCAGAGCCCGGGAACAACAGGCTGGTGGGAGCCCGGCGGTGAGGGGTAGGACCTGTCTCCCCGTTTCACCTTCGCGTCCCTCGCGATCGGCGACCCCCACCCCCTCCCCAGACCCGACCGGTGACAATCTCAGCACCCCAGCTGGGGACAGGGGACTGCAGAGCAGGGAAACAGGGGTGGGCACTCCGTTCCTCCACAGGCCTCAAACTCCCGAAGGGCCCACGTAGGGAAGAAATTAAAAAAAAAAAAAATGAGGATGGGGGCGGGAGGAGCGGCGCCCGACGCCGAGGGAGGACTCGGACCCGGGCCGGGAGAGCGGCCCCGGCCGCGGCAGACGTGCAGCTCCTTGAGGTTTCAATGGTGGCCTCTTTGGGGGGAGGGGAGAAGTGACCCGGGAGTTGGGGGGGGGGGATGCGGCCGCCCCTCCCCCCCGCGCCCAGCTCCCTGTTTACCTTCTCGGTACTTCTTGCGGAGCCGCCGGTGGACGCTCTTCACCACTCCCGAGAGCTTCTCCTGCTCCAGCTTCCGTTCCTGTTCCCGGGGCGGCGGAGGGCTCCGGGGCCCGGCCCCCTGCCCGCGAGCAGCGCCTCGGCCGCCGGCCCCCGGCTCCATCTCGCCGCCACCGCCGCCGCCGCCCCTCAGGCCCCCGCAGACGCTTCCCTGACGGAGGAGGTGGGGAAGGAGAAGGCAGCAGCAGCCGAGGCAGTCACCGGAGGCGGCTAAGGAGCTGGAGTGACAGCTTCGGAGGTGGCCCTTTTCCCGCACGCGCAAGTTGATTGGTGGGCCGTGGAGGGCTGGGCGGAAACGGAAAGGCCGAGGGCCAATGGTCGCAGAGCGCCGGCGGCGCACCGGGTTGTTTGGGAAGGCGAGCAGCTGGAGGAGGCGGGGCTTGAGGGCGATGGGCGGGCCAGGCCTAGGGCTCCCTGTCCCGCCCCCGGATTCAGTGCGCAGGCGCTCTGTGCGGGCCTTGGCCGACGCGGGGAGAACCGCAAGCTTGCACATCCGAGTTTGCTTAGTGTGGGACTTGGTTCCGCGGTCGAGGCTCCCTCACGTCTCGCCGTCTGCCTGGGGCCTTTACCCGAGTCTCCCCGCTGTACCTTGTCACGGGCGCGTTCAGGCATTTTGAGATGATTTGGTGGCGCCGGAATTTTACACTTTGAGATGGAGGTCTGGCTGCCAACAGTGGATTGAATTCACTTGCCTACAGTGATAGCCAATAGGAGTCTGAGGTGCTGTGGCTGAGGCTGAACTAAGCAAGGATAGAAGAAATGGAGATAGAAGAGGGCCAAGAAGGGCAATAGGAGGTGCGGGAGAGCAGAGAAGAAAAGATGGAAAATCGTGCCACAAAGACCTTCGAGAATGTTGCCAGCACTCACGATGATGGAGAGAGCCTGCCCTGAACCTAGTCGCTTCAAGACTCAGCGCTGTTAAAGGCAGCTGGGGGTGAACTCCTGTCTTTAATCTGGAGGGTTACTCCACTCAGAGGATGCCGTAGCTCCACTAGCAACCTACTCGGCCCAGCTGCCCTGCTATCCTGCACTTGGGAAGCCCTTGGGCAAATGTGGTAACTAACTTGGTCTGCTTTCCTGGGCCTCTCCCACTCTGCAGGAATACCTTAAGTTGTACCTGGGCTGCAGCAGAGCCGGAAATCCACCCAGCAGGGAGCTCCCAATTCTCAAAGGGATTGTTAGAGAGTGGATTGCTTCCTGTTCGAAGTTGTTGGTTGCATGACATATGAACATTGTTGCAAAGAGACCTTTGCGGTCAATGATTTCATTCATAAGGGTAAAGCTCGCTTTGCGTAACTCTTTCAAATGATACTTTCTGACTAAATGAAGACCCTGAAGAAACAAAGTCTTCAACACTGGAAAAGTTGGAGAGGCGGAAGGGAAAAGGAGAACGTGAGCGGAATTTAAAGGTGGAAAATATGTCCCTACCAGTTCAAGTGCAGAGGGGAAGGTCAAGCAGAGACACGGACACATGATCTCTGGAAGATTTTTGATGTGGACTGCCAAATTTTCCTTGAACCTGCAATGCATATGGAAGCTTATTTCAGTTCAATCTTACCAAATAGAGATATTAAAATTTTGTAGTCATAAAAATTTTTGTAGCCATGAGTTTTTGAATTCTTATTTATTGAAGCAGAGATGGTTCCATTGGTTCACTCCCCAGGTCTGTGCAACAGCCTCAGCTAGGCATCTCAACTTGCGCTTTAATGGCTGCTCTAAGCTCCAGTGTTGACACTTTTTAAAGGCCTTTTGCTAAGCAGGATATCACATCATGAATCAGAATGACATTTTTAGAGTTCCTTAAAATAAGGAATAAAAAAAAAAAGAATAAAAAGGAGGTAGGTTTTTGATGCAGTGGTCTACAAATGCTTACAGCCTGCACTGGAATGAGCTCTATTTCCAATTCTAGCTTCCTCCTAGTGTGCTCTGGAGAACAACAGGGGATGCCTCAAGTTCTTGGGATCCTGCTACCCCAACGTGGGAGATTCAGATTTTCTGGTCTTCTACCTGACTCAGTACTTCTAATGTGAGGTTCTGGGAAGAGAACCAGCGGGTGGAAACTTTCCATCTTTGTACCTTTCAGGTAAGATGCCAAAAAAGGGGGGGAGGGGAAGGAAGAGGAAGAGAAGAAGAAAGAGAAGGAAAGATAGAAAGAGGGAGAAGGGGAAGTCAAAGAAGAACAAGACTAGAAGAAGAAAAAGAACCAGAAAAAGTAGTCAGCCAAGCCTGTACAGTGGTGCAGCAAGCTAATCCTCCACCTCAAAGTACCAACATCCCATGTAAATGTCAGTTGCAGTCCTGGATACACCACTTCCTACCCAGCTCCCTTCAATGGACTGGGAAACCAATAGAAGAGGCTCAAGTCCTTGGGTCCCTGCATCCGTGTAGGAGACGTAGAATAATCTCCTGGCTGCTGGCTTCAGATGGGCTCAGCTCTGGCCATGGTGGCCATTTGGGAACAAACCAGCTAATGGAGGATTCTTTCTCTCTCTTGTCTCTCTGTCTCTCTGTCTCTCTCTCTCTGTTTTTCTCCTCTGTAAATTCACTTTTCAAGTAAAAATAAATAAATCTTTAAAAACCAGAGCATGCTGCACCTATGTAAAAATAGAACAAAGTCACTTATGTAAGACTGTGTACTCACCATTTTCAAGTAAATTGAACAGCCCACATTTTCCATTTGTTTTTTACTTCCCACTTTTCCTAAGAAGCAACTCAAGCAGTAACAACTAGGCAGCAGATTTCATTTTAAATCTGCGTGAATTCAAATGGGGCATAGAATGACAAATCCTGAGAAATACTAGCATTTAGTTTTCTTAATAGGATTTGGCAGCTGGCCGAAGTTCACAGTGTCAAAGGAAATTTATAATCATATTCCTCCAAAGAGATTAGCAAAACAAGAAGAAGGAAAAAAGACTTTGTTAAAGAAGCACAGAAAGGAGTGCTAGTGGTATTTTCCACTTAAGTGAACTAACTACTAATTACTGGCAAATGTGATTCGGTTAAGGGAAGATGTTTATGCCATATTCAACAAACATTCTCGATACCCAAGTTGCTATCAAAACATTTCTTCCCTTGTGGTGATGTTTATTTACTATAAACAGCTTCTTAAAAAAAAAGCTCTATTATTTCAGATGACTCGTGGGGCAAAGGAAAATATAAAACATTCTTCACTAAACAGGAAAAACCAGTCTGGGGGAAGGAGGCATTTCTCAGCACTGCACTAAGCCCTGATAACTAGATTTCCCATCCTCATGCTTTGCCAGCTTCTGCGCCTTTCTCCGTGTTCATGTACGATTTTCATTAACATCCTGTGTCAAAGAACCACCAGGATGACATGCTCTTGGTAAGAAAAAAAAAATACCTTGTTCTGTTTATTTACATTTCATCATGAGGAAAAGAGATTTCGACAGACGATATAAAGTCACCACATTTTAATGATACGATGTGTACTCTTTCCAATGGGAATTATCAAAAATAGCAATCAGTGATGAAAAGTAAAGTTTAGGAATACCAAATCGAAATTTGAGATGTGGCACTGAATTGACCAATAGATTCTGGGAAACCAATGCAAAATTGTCGTCCATTTCATTGGGGGTATTCTTGCTTCATGTAGAAGAGAAGAGGCTGTATAAAGAGTTCTTCGAATTATCTACAGCATTACTTATTTATTCTTATTATTCACTAATTTTTGGTATGATTTACTTCATTGTGGCTTTTTTTGGCATCAGAATCCTAATAATAATTAAATTTTAATGTTGCAAGTCATCTGGTATGGAATTTAGGTACCCAAAATGACATCTTACCAGTTTACAGAGACCTGAAATATTAACTCTGAAACAACAAGGCTTTCTAAGACAAAATATCAAAGAATCATCATATATATCCTAAGGTCCACTGTTATTTCTGGTCAAATATTCTTGTAATATGATTAAAATTAATTATTTTTTGTGAATTCCAATGAAAATTCACTAATTGTAATAATTATATATTGCATATTATAATTACATATTTTGTATATGTTATAGTTATATTTTGCATATTATAATTAATATTCTTCCAATTCACCTAGAGCTTCTGAAAAATTTTCATTCCAAAATCAATATTCCAAAAATTCTTCATATACTCAACAAAAATATATTGGGCCATAACCCAGTAGACTTAGTATTTTCAAAGATGATCTAATTTCTGTTGCCAGTAACACAAAAGTTTAGGTATGTTATCATGAAAATAAGTTTATTGAGGCTCTTGGATCTGGTCAGAAGCTAAGGAGCTATATCTGGTAATTACCTTCTTGTTGGAAGATTCCCTAGATAGTGCAAAGCATCACATAGTGAGACAGAGAACACACTTGGGACCTATTCAAACTGCCTTTTATTGGGCACCACCACTCAGGGTAACCTTTTCTTTCATATAGATGCTTCTGTGGCCTCCTCAACTCATTGTATGATCCTCAAGTACAAAATCCAAGGCCTCTGCCTGTGTTCCAGTGACCACCTTGCCTGGGTGCTAAATAAATGCCTGGCAGCCAGGACAATTGGTTGTGAAGGAGCACATTTTTATTCATTTTAGGTGATTTTTTTTTTTTCGCTTTAAGTGGTATAAACTTTAAGGGCACATAGATACGTTGAAAAAAAAATCTGCTTGAGAACATGCTTAACTAAGCTATCAGGAAGAACTGAAATTACTCACTAGGTATGCTGAGTTAAGATCACTTATCTTATCAGTATTTTTTTTAACTTCATATCTGTTGGTCTTTCTCACTTATCCAAAGAAGCAAAAGCTTTTTTAGGATCTATAATGTTCCTGAGGTAGGCCTAGGAAATGCAAAGACAAAACTAGTTATCATGGAAATTATGAGTAGAAATGTTTATTAGCCTAATTATCTTCAGCTGGAGAGAGAGCGCGCTAGTGTCATTATATTTCTTTTTTGAATCACATTGTTTCTACCAACAGAGAGCTGTGATCTACATATCCACTGATTTTGTGCTCCATTACTCTATATGTTTGCTACTGTTATGAGCTAGAGAATAATGAATATGCCATTATAATGAGACAGGAAAACTGATGCAAGTAGCAATGCAACAAGGAACAGGTTGGATCCATAAGTGAGTGAATCCAAGTTTTAAAAACGTCTTGGAGAGAAAAAAAAAAAAAGTCTTGGCTTCTGGATGTGTCAGCAACTTCAAAAGTGGTTTCTTTTCAGGACACTGCAATGA